TTTAGTTTACCTTTGTTTAATTAAAACATATACATTTATAATTCAATATAGACCTACTTTCAACCTCTAGTTTACATATTTAAATTGTCAACTTTGAGAATGCACAGCAATTTTAATTCCCAATCAGCATAAACCAGACAGGAGACCGAAATAATCTATAAGGTGCTTTTTAAATGTTTTTGAGTCTTTTCTGCATGCTTCATTCTGTATTTCTAATAGTATGTAAACAACTTCAAAATGTGGACTGTGTTTTCTTTTTTGTGATACCTTGTAAGTACTGGAGATGACGACTGGAATGGAGAGAATACTGGAGTGGGTAGCCTTTCCCTTTTCCAGGGGATCTTCCCAAACCAGGGAATGAACCCAGGTCTCCAGTCTCCCGCATTGCAGGCGAATTCTTTGCCAGCTGAGCCACCTGGGTCGGGAAGATTTGCTGGAGACGAGATAGGCTACCCACTCCAGTATTCTGGCCTGGAGAATTCCATGGACTGTATACTCCATGGGGTCGCAAAGACTCCATGGGGTCGCAAAGAGTCGTACAAGACTGAGTGATTTTCACTTTCATTTTCACTGTTGCTCCTAATTCTGCATTATGCATCCTTTACTATATTTTCTGTTGTATTACTGTATTAATTCCATTATTAAATAAATTCACAAATAAGTGTAAAATTTTTGACTGATATATAGCTCAAATAAGAGTGGGTTAATGCTATGAACTTCATTGTCTTTTTCACACCAAGTAATAGACCTGATACACAGCTATCACTTACAAGATCTCAAGGTTAGAGAGAACTGGAGAGATACCCAATTAAACAAGTATGTGTTTGTATGTTATACAGTTTGTACATTTTCCATCATTTAGTCTAAAGTTCATTCTCACAATTTCTTGTCACTTTCTCAACTTGCTATGATGTAAGATAAATAATTATGGCTAAACAATAAGGCTAGGATATAAATGAGAAAACAATATAGTGAAATCTTGTTAATCCAATGCTAGTTCATTCAAAATAACATTCAAATCCAATCAACAGTTATTCCCCAGTCAAATAGAATGGTTTTCTCATTAAAATTGTTCATTTAATACAAAGCATGCATTATGAATTATTTAAAGCAGAAATTAGGTCCCAAGAGGACCTTACATTATTAAAGAGGTAAAATAATTCCAAAAGATGCCAGCAAACAACTGTATATCAGCTACAGTGAAACTGTATTTGTGAACCACTGCGATTTCTCGTGGCTGCAGGACTTTTCACCTCTTTAAAACGAGTATTCAGGGCAATTTCTATGAGCTTATGGTCTTCCAGAAGAAGGGCTCCCCCCTTGCTCCTTTCTCTATTGTTCCGTATCCGGTACAGAATTATTTAATTTTCATAATTAAAAACAATTAAAGATGTTTTACTCTGAACTAGGGGCTAATTTTGCAATGATAAACTGCTCTTTACGATCTCCTCACATTTCTAAAACCTGAAAACATTCCCTTGTGAATCACTGTTTGTATAAGTGGGGAACTAAAAGAAACTCACTGCTTTAAAAGGTAAAAAGAATATCTAGGGAAACAGTTGAAAGATACAAAGAAGCATTTTTAGAGACAAATTTCCTCAAGTTTGTTGTCTTTGAATCAGAGCTATGATGACTTGATGCTCATCAGAAGGTCCAGCCTTAATATAGGTTCTTTAATGTTTAAGAACCTGAGGATCATCAGATTAGAAGTGTTTTGAAAGTACAAATTAGGATTATTTAAAATGTGTTAACTGTATCATCTAATTATAAAAGAAAATCTTGCTTTAGAATCCCAAGAGGTATGGATGGTATTTCTCTTTTAAAACTATTAAATAAACTAAGAGCCGACAGCACAATTAGTGTGGTTTGAGCTTTCAGGCGTGATTTCAGTGCAAGATTTTCCCTCTGTTCTAGGGGATGCATAACTGTTAAGAACAATTATTTCCTGCTGTGGCCCTAGTTGTGTCAATAGGATAATTCATTTGGGAGATTTGCAAATTATCAGAAAAGGTTTACCGTGTTTTATCCCCCTAATGACCTCAATGTGCTATGTTACATGGTGATTTATGACTCCTTGTGAATTTCCTTGGGATAAACCACGTGTAGTTTAATATTCTACACTCTTAAAATTAACCAAAATTACTATCTCTACGTGATCCATTTGCAACACAGAAAGGGGTAGATTTGAAGGTTAAGTTACAAAAGCACGTAAAAGCAGGATATGTGTTTTATAGTAATAATTCATATAATAAAACTACAGTTTTAAGGAAAGCAATTCAATTCATAAAAGAGGCATGATAGCATTAACTTTGCTCTTATAATAATAACAGGCATCCAGTCAGCAAATATTTTTGTTGACTATTCCATACGCAGTTTATCAAGTACAACAGGGAACATAAAGTTACCTAGAATTTTGCTCCTATTCTCAAAATCTTTACAAATTTCTCCTACTCTCTTCCTTTGGCTCCATCATACCAGAGTCAAAAAATAAACAAAACTAATACCAGAAGCTTTTCTCTGCCTTCTTACCAGACTTCCTCTTGGAGCAGAGTTAATGTCACTGATTTAAAAACCCCATTTTACGCCACACGGCCAACTGGAATCGCAAGTGTAGGGTCAGCTCAGGTCCCCCTGGGAAAACTCTGAGCTTCTCACAGTATTAGCCTCTTTAAGAAGAGAACTCAGAATTGTTTTGTTCCTGCCCAAGAAGAGGGGTGTTTCCCCTTCTTTCTCCCTGCCAACCCCAGGCATTTAAACTCTCCATTGTTAAACCAACCGAACTCCTGTTTTTGCTCCAAGGAAAAGGGTGTGGCTCTGTCTCACACTTCTCTGCCCAGACTCCGTGCACTTCCTCAGACTCACCCCTGTTCCTTGGGTGCACTGAAACACATACCCAAAGTGCACGTGAGTTTGGTCAGTGACGTAAGCACCTCCCCGTCTCCAGGGCAAGGTTCACATTGCAGGAGAATCCAGATTCCATCTTACTTTTCCTTGCACTTCCAGAAAAGTATTTTTGCATTTATTTTTTATAAACATTTTTATATTACTTCTCACTTTTTAGTTTTTACAATGCTGTGTTGGTTTCTGCCATACAACAATCCAAATCAACCATAATCATACGCACATCCCTTGCCTCTTAAGTCTCCCTCACTTCCCCCACCTGCCACCCCTCCAGGTCATCACAGAGCACCAGACCGGGCTTCCTGTGTTATAGAGCAGCTTCCCACCAATGATCCACTTTACGCAGGATAGTGCATATATATTCGGTGCTACTTTCTCCATTCATCCCACTCAATCCCTCTCCCACTGTGCCCATAAATCCATTCTCCATATCCACGTCTCCATTCCTTCCTTGCAAACAGGTTCATCAATGCCATTTTTCTAGATTCCATATGTATGCATTAATATATTATATATCCTTTTTCTTTCTGACTTACTTCACTCTGTATAACAGGCTCAAAGTTCAACCACCTCTCTAAAACTGACTCAAACACATTCTTTTTTATGACTCAGTAATATCCCATTGTATATATGTAGCACATCTTCTTCATTCATTCATCTGTCAGTGGATGTATCGGTGGCCTCCATGTCTTGGCTACTGTCAAAAGTACTGCAATGAACATTGCGGTGCATGTATATTTTAGAACTGTAGTTTTAAGAGTTAAATGATGGGCCATGAGCTTTCTTTTTAATTATTTTACAAACTTTCAGCTGTTGGGACTGATGGACTTGCTTTCTAGAGCTCTAGAATCAGATAAGAGTCCCATGAGTAGAAACTCTACAGAGGACACGTTGGGATACACAAAAGAAACAATGAGAAATACTACACAGAAATCACCAATAACCAGAAAGGAGCTGGTCACTGGAGGTATCAAAATAGAAAATGAAGAACAAGTTGGCAGCAGTGTTGTGAAGGGAAATCCAAAAATCAGATCAGTTCGTACTACAAGGAATTTCTCTTTTTTCTGTTTTATATTAATACACAATGCCGCAAGCAAGCAGTAATGAGTTTTTGGTTTGTTTTTAAATAAACAGGTGACGAACCTGCTTTTAGTGTGACAGGGACAGGTATAAGGAGACCATGCACTCTGATAGCATCAGTCTCTATTGTTGTTTCTTTCTACTTTACACTTTCCTTTGCTCTTTTCTTCATCTGGGTTTCAAACCAGCCATTATGTGTGTGTTCTGGGCTCACCTTGGCTCCTTGTGATCTGACTCCTTGGCCAGGAATTAGCTCCTCCAGCTACTAGACTGGCTCACGTTCCCTGGTGATGCTCTGAATGTCCAGTCCTGCATCCTGTGCTTTCTTCCTCCTCTTCCCTTTTTCTGAGTTGACAACACAGCCGTTTGTGATTCTTTCTTCTTCCTCCACACAATCCCTAGCCTCAAACCACCTTGTCCCTGCAGGCCAAGACCCCACATCCTAGAGTCAAATAACTTTGGCAGCTTCTATTGTGGAGAAGGCCTTGACTCTGCTCACCCCAACTGTGTAAAAGGGTGAAACTGGAATGTCAGTGAGGGAACTGACTCAATCTGAGAAAAACAAGGAAAGCAGAAACTTATCCCCCACGGGTTTCCACAACCACAGTCCTAACCTCAAGGCCATTTATCCAGCTTTCAGCCATGGAACCATGGCAGACGGAAGCAGAGGAGGTTGCTCTGACCTTTTAAAATTGTAAGCAAATTCTCCACTCCAAATGTTCACATCCACCAGTCAAAAGCTTCCACTCGGGCACCCAAAGCTCTGCCATCTGAACTCGGAACGCAGGACCACTCGTGTCGAGGACAGACATCGGTACTGTGTGAAAATCCCCAGACGATGGTCAGACAGGGCACTGTGAGCTGGCGGCCCCTCGTCAGCCCGTGTTTGCGGGGTCACACATAAACGTAATTCAGGGGCTGGGCTGCTGGGCCTCTGGTCTCAAGGTTAATTAACCACAGGAAAATGGCACCTTCAGAGGGCCCGCATCCTAACAGCCCTCACGGAGGGAAGCAGGATTTTAAACTGACCGCACCGATGCCGCCAGACAGCAGACTTGAAACCGGCAGAGGTGAAAACAGACTGACGGAGGCTGCCGCACGGCTGACCAGAGGGCTAGGGGACATACTCCCCCGGCCTTTGGTAGAATAACTCCGGAACCAGGAAACTCGCAGCCAAGGTGGCTCACGGCTGAGTGTGACTGAGGACATGCGCGCAGGCCTGCTGCCTCCATCCGGGTGACGCTCGGCGCTCCGACACGAACGCGCATGCGCGCACGCCCACGCATGCCCACACGGCCCTCGGCTGCCGGCCGGGGCTCTCCAGCTTCCGGTTCAGTCCCACGTGGCAGAGGGTGTAAGCCCCGTACATCTCAGCAAAGGACGAGACTCCCAGGCCCTTGACCTTCTTGCAGGTTTTCTTTTCTTCCTGTGTATTGCCCCTTCCTGAGTCTGCATGTTTTCTTATGTGCAAGCTCTGTTCAGGCCGGTCCGCTCCATCATGGGGCTGATCCGTGTCACTTGGGGAAGTTACACTTGAGAGCTAGAGAGACTTGCTGGCCCTCAACCGGTCCTTGGGTTTCTCATCAGATGTTTTTGCCTGCGTGCAGAACTGGGCCTCTGCTACCGCATCAGGATGTGCATTGAGGGCTCATGGGGAGGTGGTTTTTTGATTTGTTTTGTTCTGTTTTGTGTGTGTGTTGTTTTTTTCTACAGGGAATGGCACCCAGTCGACCAGTAAGGAACCCCCGCTCAGGTGCCATGAGCCCTGAATGCATTGCGCTCAGCTCTCTCTGCAACCAAATCCCCTCTGCTCTCGATTTGTAAACAACTCAGCTCTGCCTGCATAATATGTGAGCTGCGATGCCAGCGCTTCGCTGTGCCCTTCCCTGCTCCCAGCCAAGTACACCTGCTGCCCAGGGCTCCGGCTGCCGCGGCCGCCGCTGCTGTCATCATGCTCTGCCGACGCGGCCCTGCTGCTTGCGGGGCTGGCGGCTCATCCTCTGCATGGGGAGGAATGTTTATTAGTTTTAATTGGTGGACACGGCTGGGCAGTGACATTTGGGTAGCACTGTGTGTCATTCACCCTGCACCAGGTGCCGGCTGTGATGGCAGATGTATGTGGATCCACTTAGAATTCAACCTACAGAGGAATGTCTTTCCAGAATAAGGCAGCTGCTGAGTCTCTCCCCTAGGTAGGGGAACACACACTCTTCCCTTCCTTTTTACTGCCTCTGATGCCTTCCTAAGAGGAACAGTTTTATTAAAAGTTAGGCTAGAATACAATAGTTTCATACAAAAATAAATAAACCCATCCTCTCTCCCAAATCCCTAAATCTGTAGCCTATGAATATGAGTGAGCACCTTCCCTTTTGTGTGACCCAGCATCTCTCAGAATTGATTGGTAACATTCCATATGTTGCCAAAATTTATATATTTCCTGGGTAGTATCCTGAACATCAACTTAGCAAATCTTTTTATATACAAATAAAATGTTCCCTATCTGATTCTACTCTATTCAACTCTGTAACTGATCTATCCCTAGTAAGAGGCCAGGAAGCTGCCTGCTTTTTGGTCTAACAGATTGAGTTTTTATGTGTTTCACTCCTCTTCTAAAGGGGGTCAAGCAACGAGACCCATGGTAGTCCGGTGGAAGTACCAGCAGTCCTTTCAGAAACAGTGGATCTGCGAGGTGCAAGCTGTCTCCTTTGGATGCTCATCCCTGGGCAGTGTTACAAAGTCTCCCTCTCTCTCTCACACACACACAGCGCCAAACCTCAGCAAACAGTCATTTTCTCAGGATTGCTTATTTTACTTCATTCCCTCAGCAAAGTCTTGCCTTCCCTAGACCAACAGGAACCAGGAACTTGGCTTGATATTGTTGCTTTATGCTTTAATAAGGGTGATGAGTGTCATGTATAGCTTCTTCTTGTTTATACATTTGTATCAATCTCAGCTGCTGCAGGAGTGAGTGGAGAGGGGACTCGGTGGCTTCAGAGCACAGATCTAGCAATTGTAAAGCACTTCTGCCACCTAGCGGGTCAGCCAAGGCGGCACTCATCGGAAAATGTAGATCTGTCTATTGGGCCAGTGAAAATCAACTTGTTAAACTTTGACTTCGTTTTAAAAGGAGACTATTACGGCATATAACCCATGTCCTCAAATGCAGTAATTAAAAGTGACCTAAAAGTAATGTTTAATGATGCCAGATCTTTAAGCAGTAAACAGCTGAACAAAATACCCTATGCTGGTAACTAATTACAGTGTTCCCAGTTGTTGATTTATAAAACAAAGTGACCCAAGCAAATGAAATCACTATATTGAATTTCTTCTCCAGAGTCTCAGGGATTTTTGATTTTTTTTCCATCTGTTGTTTAACTGTATACTGTTCCAAAGTGCAGGGATGAATTGGAGTGTTATTATAAGTGGCAAGGTTATTAGCTTGGAAAAACATACAGCTCACGTCACAGCACAGGGTAGGAACAGTCACAGAAGGTGCCCCTCATCCTAAAACACTGGAAAAGAGGGAGCAGTCAGGATGTATGTAACATGCACCGTAATACAGTCATTATTGAATCTTATCTTCCTATAGCTGTAAACAACACAATGTTTAAAGACTGCAAAATAAAACAATTATTAAATCATTGCCAAATTGCTGCTGAGTGGGTTTCTGCCACTGTTTCAAGACAAGTGAAATGTGCTGTGTAATGGAATCATTCTATACATACTGTGGGGTTGATCCCTTTTCAAAAGACAACAGGATTCCAGAAAGAATGAGTATTCTGAAAGGATCTTAGGAAAACTGTCCAAACAGCAGATGGTATGGCTCCTTATGAATGCTCAGGATTCAATAGAGAGATTTCTATAATGCTAAAGATGTAGAGATTGCAGAATCAAGGGTCGTTGTTCTTCCCTCTAAAAACATAAAATAAGAAAACAAATCCTATGCATAATTTATGGATGCCCCAGGATAGTCTTAAATTATGCAATCCACATATCCACAAAAAGTTGCTTAATATATTTGTTAGTAACTTCATCCAGTGGCCGCACTCTGCCCCCGCCCCCAAATACACACACACTATTTCTGAGACAAGTCAGTTAGAGAAGGATGTCTGTATCTACTGAGTGTGTAACATTCATTTCTAAAGCAAATACACTGGCAAGCAGGGAAGCACAAAGGCATTTAATAACTAAACGCTTCTTTTATCAACTCAGTGGTCTTCCCTGCTTAGAAAGCTGCACAATGGGATTAAAAGCACTCTCAATAAAGTTCATTACCTCCGTGGTCCTTTCCATCTTCCTGTGAAATTAACTGTATCTCCTATATGTACATCTACTTAAGGTAGTAATTTAATGGCAGTAACATCTATATCTAAGAGGGTTATTTTTCCCTTGGGTCTGCTTCACACTCAGAGATCTCTTCATAGTGTTTAGAACAAAACCCAGAAATGCTGTTTTCCTTCTGTTTTAGAGAAATGAGGGAGAAAAGGACAGAGGAAAATAATCAAAGCAATTTTAAAGTGATCATCTTAGAAAATAGTAAAGCCACAAATATGAGTGCTCAGTGAGGAAGGAAGATGAACCATGGGTATATACACTTGATGTGCACTAAATAATTTCTTAAATTTTTAGTTTTTCATCTTATACTCTCATCTCTTCCTCTCTGCATCACACCACCCCCCCCCATTCATATGCAATCTTGCTCTGTCTTTTTAGTTAGGAGAATCATGTTTCTTTCCCCTATTTTCATATACATTCAAGGTAGGTATTCTTAAGCCTAATCCCCCCTTTTTTTAGGCAGAGTTCTGATTTTGTTCCCTTTTCTACTCTTCTCGCCCTTGACTCAGACTGAGCTTCTACCCACCATGAAACCCCAGCTTGCTGAAATGAGTCATCATCATCTCTTCTCTGGTGAGCATGTGAATTAGGTCTTCTCAGTATCGGAGGAGACAGGCTGAGAAAGGGCTTCCCAGGTAATGCTGGTGGTAAAGAACACGCGTGACAATGCAGGAGACATAAGAGACCAGGGTTTGATCGCGGGTCAGGGAGATCTGTTGGAGAAGGTCATGGCAACTCACTCCAGTATTCTTGCCTGGAGAATCCCATGGACAGAGGAGCCTGGCAGGCTCACAGGATCACAAGGAGTCGGACATGACTGAAGCGACTTAGCTCGCAAGCTGTGCTGAGGAAGGGGAAGAGATTTCTGAATTCCTACAACAACCCCAGGGATAGTCTTTCTTTGTACATCTGGACATGGCTCTTTTTAACTGTGTCTCGTGAAACTGTCACGTACATCCTACATCTCTGAATGTAACCTTTAGGAGGACGGTAGAGGATGAATGGAATTTAAGTCTGTGATGACTTTGCACCCAGGGGTCCACTAATCCCAGAGGCCCTGACCTTTAAGTAAAAGTTTGTGTACTTTGGCCAAATGGACCCTCATTTATGCCTTTGTTTAATGACCTGCAGCTAAAAAGACTCCAGATGGCTCCAGAATATGTTTCCTTTCAATACTTTCAATTCTAAAACCTTGACCTTGTCTGCATTATACTCAAAATTACCCTGACGATTCTAATTACCTTTTCTACATAGTTTCCTATCGAATCCTATAGATTTCACTTTGTAAATATCTCTTGAATCAGTCTTTTCTTATCTATTCCACATTCACTCTTTTAGTTCACTCCCTCATAATTTTTCTCTTGGAGTCTTGTTAGAGCCTCATAACTCCTCTATCTCAAATCAATTCTTTGCTTTGCCTATAGGATGATCCTGTAACTTTCAAATACAAAAGGTCATTTTCTATGCTTCAATGCATATCAAAATGTTCCTCTGTATTCAGGTTCAAGACAAAACCCTTTCATGTAACTAATAAACACTTCTTTACTTGTTTCTTTTTTTCTTTCTTTTTTTTTTCTTTTTCCTGCTTGCCTTATGCTAGATTTTTTGAAAAATTTTTATTGAAATACAACTGATTTACAATGCTGTGTTAGTTTCAGGTTACAGCAAAGTCAATCAGTTATACATATATCAATTCTTTTTCATATTATTTTCCTATGTAAGTTATTAAAGAATATTGAGTGGAGTTCCCTGTGCAATATAGTAGATCCTTATTAGTTGTCTCCAAAATAGAAACAGACTCACAGATCTCTCTGAGAAGCCAGCCCTCTCATCCTAACTTCCTTTTGTTTGTGTGTCCAGCTTCCTCTTCTTATCTCTCACCATCCTTGCCTGTTATGGTGCTGAACACACTGTTATGTCATTTTTGTTGCTGTTTTTTTGTGAATTTCTC